GTTGAACCTCGGAGGGCGAAGCCTCTATAGTGGTGTCCTCGTCGTCGCTCTCGTAGGCCATGATGTTACCTGGGTTCCCGAACATCCAGTCGAAGAAGGAAAGAGGCTCGTTTCCGAGCGTACCGTGTTCCACGGGAGTGAGTTCATTACTGCCCGTGACGAACCGGCGGACGTACTCGAGGTAATACGCGTATAATCCATGACCATACCCCTCGAGCTCGTCAATGTTGTCCATGCCAACGACCCATGTGAAAAATATCTGTTCCATAGCCTCAAAGTCCTGGAGGCTCAGATACTCAATGGATGGCGTGCTTGAGCCGAAATGGACTTCGGACGACATGCCCTTTCCATTTCCCTTCGCTGGACAATCTCGCACAAGATGATCGGCACTACCACATTCATGGCATTTGAGAACCTGGCCGTCTCTACCTCGCGGGTTTCCCCGCCTACCTTTACCTTTACCTGAGGTCTCTCTACGGCCTTTACCGCGGCCTTTTCCCCCAAAGAATATCTCATCATGTTGTTCATCTGAGAGCCTCTGGAGAAATGCCGCGATACCTCGCCCGTTCAACCTCCGACGACCACGCTTGCCTTTACCCTTTCCTTTAAAACTTCTGCGTATCCTCCTTCTAACACGACGCACTGGTTTTCGTGTGAACCTCCTCCACCTTCGTTTAGCCTGTTGTAACAGCCAGAATAAATGCTCAGCACGCTGATTGTCGTTATCCATATTCATGATATCTGACCAATCTAGAGCTTCAACACCATCTGATGATATAGTGTCTGTATCGGTGCCGGAGTCGAAATCTTCGTCTCCTAAATAGGTGGATACACCGTCGGTTAGGGGATTTGATTCCCCCCATAACGAGCGGTGTGGTTGTGGTTCTCTAGAAGGAGGGCTGGTTGCCCAGCTTGGTTGTGATCGATCCCCTGCTAATAAAGCAGTGGATTCTCCTGGGTCATCGGCCCATATGTTTGAGGGCCCGTTTCCAGGCTGGGCTTCAGTAGTCAAGGTAGTGTAGAAATTTCCACTACCAGATCCCCTTCCTCTTCCAAACACGGATCCTATGTTGCCAGGAGATCGTTCGGATAGGTGACCTACCGAACGCATCCTTTCCAGCAGCTCATCATATTGTTGTTGTGTTCGAGGCATTTGGTGGTTGAGTGGCTGTAAGAGTTGCATGGCTTTCTGGTTGCCGACGCCTAAGGCGCGGAATAGGATAGTGGTTAGCAGTTGGAAGTTAGGAAGGTCGAATCCCACCGACTGTGCCTCAAGTCGGGCCATTTCGAATCGGGTAAGAGTGACATCGATTCGTTCCCCGTGAGGCACATGGAAGTCGATGAGTTGTGTGCCGGAAGTGAGCTGTCGCTCATCTTCCAGGCGTTCGAACTTCATGCTGAGGAGGAACATGATGTAAGTTACTGGGTCTGTGTGGACCCCATCAATGTCAGCACCATAGTTTATAATGTCAGGCGGTACCCTCATGGCGAGTGTCCTCGCTAGGCCTCCCAGGCCGCGTTGTATTGCGGCCGCTTGGGCCTGTGGCGTCATACGTCCGCTTGTAACGTTGAGCCACGCGTTGACCTCGTAAATGTACTCACGAAAAGGTACATTACCCTGAGGGTCCCAATATGGGCCATGTGTTTGCCCATCGGTGCTGTTATCTCCCCGACGCATGTGTGCGATTGCTGCCCCCAGCGCGAACCATATGATAGCGAAAACGATTAGCCCGAGAATGTGTAACGAAGGACGGTTATGATGAGCGGTGTCGCGCTGGGGTAGCGCCTTGTCGAGTCTTCGAGGCGCTCTGTCTGGCGGGTTTCCCCGCCCTTGCTTCAGGTATTGCGTTATTGGCTCGTTGCCGAGCGGTTGATAGTAACGCAATGATGAAGCGTATATGGTACCGATCTGGTCGTCTAGACGTCGTACCTCTCGTGTAGCTTCTTGCTCTTGAATAGATCCTCGTAAATGTACTGGGAGTGGTGGCGCAGGGTAGTAGGTGGTCACGAAGATCGTGCCGAAGAATGTGAGGCTGAGAAGAGCAAGAGCTGACCACACGAGAGTGCGGCCAGCTCCGCTACCAAGTCGAAAGTGAGCCTGGTAACTCAAATAGGGCATATAGCCTGGCAAATTGCATCCATCGCTCTGCTGTGAAGGTACAGTATGAGGGGTGGATGGGTAAGATAGGATAAGATCGATGTAATGATCTTTCCAGCACATAGCGAACATTCGCGGTGTCCGGGCAAATAGGGCGCGCGTGCCTTGAGCCCAAGGCAGCGGCGCGCGAGCTATGCTCCCGATACTGTAACATCTCCCAAAGAGCTACCCTTAAAGTGCGCAAACAAGAAGCAGTGGCTGTGGTCATTTTCCCGTCCCGCAGACACCGCTGCTCCCCGGGCCTCTCACTGGGTCGGGCCTGTCCCCCTACAGGGGGATTCTGGACGAAAGTATACAAATACTCAAAAAATGCTCAAAAGATGCCCCAAAATACTCAAAAGATGCCCGGCCGGGAGGCCGCGCGGCCCCGAGGCAACTCCTCGGGAGGGGGGGGGGGTGGGCGACACTAAAGGGCGTGAGAACGACCACAGCCACTGCTCTTCTCTTGTTGCCGCCTTCCAGCCAGCAGAAACAAAGCAGTGGTTGTGGTCATTTTCGTTAAGCGTGGCGCCAGGGAAATGACCACAACCACTGCTTCTTTTTCGGTCGGCTGGAAGGCGGCGCAAACAAGAAGCAGTGGCTGTGGTCATTTTCCCGTTCCGCAGACACCGCTGCTCCCCGGGCCTCTCACTGGGGGGTCGGGCCTGTCCCCCTACAGGGGGATTCTGGACGAAAGTATACAAATACTCAAAAAATGCTCAAAAGATGCCCAAAAATACTCAAAAGATGCCCGGCCGGGAGGCCGCGCGGCCCCGAGGCAACTCCTCTGGGGGGGGGGGGGGGGGCGACACTACAGGGCGTGAAAACGACCACAGCCACTGCTCTTCTTTTGTTGCCGCCTTCCAGCCAGCGGAAAGGAAACAAAGCAGTGGTTGTGGTCATTTTCGTTAAGCGTGGCACCAGGGAAATGACCACAAGCACTGCTTCTTTTTCGGCCGGCTGGAAGGCGGCGTAAACAAGAAGCAGTGGCTGTGGTCATTTTCCCGTCCCGCAGACACCGCTGCTCCCGGGGCCTCTCACTGGGTCGGGCCTGTCCCCCTACAGGGGGATTCTGGAAAAAATATACAAATACTAAAAACATCCTCAAAAGATGCCCCAAAATACTCAAAAGATGCCCGGCCGGGAGGCCGCGCGGCCCCGAAACAACTCCTCGGGAGGGGGGGGGGGGGGGCGACACAACAGGGCGTGAAAACGACCACAGCCCTGCTCTTCTTTGTTGCCGCTTCCCGCCAGCAGAAACAGAGCAAGTGGTTGTGGTCCATTTTCGTTATGAGTGGCACCAGGGAAATGACCACAACACTGCTTGCTTCTTTTCGCCGGTCTGGAAGGCGGCGCAACAAGAAGAAAAACAAAAAAAAAAAAAAAAAAAAAAGTGCTGTGGTCGCGGGGCCGTCCCGCAGACCAACGCTGCTCCGGGCCTCTCACTGTGTCGGCGCCTGTCCCCCTACAAGGATTCTGGGCGAAAATATACAAATACTCCAAAGATGCTCAAAAAAGATGCCCAAAATACTCAAAAGATGCCCGCCGGGAGCCGCGCGGCCCCGAGGCAACTCCTCGGGAGGGGGGGGGGGGCGACACTAAAGGGCGTGAGAACGACCACAGCCACTGCTCTTCTTTTGTTGCCGCCTTCCAGCCAGCAGAAACAAAGCAGTGGTTGTGGTCATTTTCGTTAAGCGTGGCGCCAGGGAAATGACCACAACCACTGCTTCTTTTTCGGCCGGCTGGAAGGCGGCGCAAACAAGAAGCAGTGGCTGTGGTCATTTTCCCGTCCCGCAGACACCGCTGCTCCCCGGGCCTCTCACTGGGTCGGGCCTGTCCCCCTACAGGGGAATTCTGGGCGAAAAAATACGAATACTCAAAAAATGATCAAAAGATGCCCAAAAATACTCAAAAGATGCCCGGCCGGGAGGCCGCGCGGCCCAGAGGCAACTCCTCGGGGGGGGGGGAGGGGGGGGCGACACTACAGGGCGTGAAAACGACCACAGCCACTGCTCTTCTTTTGTTGCCGCCTTCCAGCCAGCAGAAACAAAGCAGTGGTTGTGGTCATTTTCGTTAAGCGTGGCACCAGGGAAATGACCACAACCACTGCTTCTTTTTCGGTCGGCTGGAGGCGGCGCAAACAAGAAGCAGTGGCTGTGGTCATTTTCCCGTCCCGCAGACACCGCTGCTCCCCGGGCCTCTCACTGGGTCGGGCCTGTCCCCCCTACAGGGGGATTCTGGGCGAAAAAATACAAATACTCAAACAGTGCTCAAAAGATGCCCCAAAATACTATAAAAATACACCCCTGCCTACTTTTTGACTCTTTCTGACTATCCCCCCCTGTAAAGGGACAGGCCCGATTTGAGCCTCTCACGGGGTGCGCTCTGCCCCGGACTGCATCGCGAATCCGGCCGCGGCGGCGAGGGCCTGCCAGGAGGCCCAGAGGGGCAAGGACGAGCAGCGGTATCTAGATCGCCTAGCTTCGCGCGTCGCGCGGCTCTCTCCGCCGCCGTGGCAAGGCCGCCTCTCCAAGCCAAGCCGCGGTGCGCGAACCGCGATGATCTTGGCGCCCCTGGGGTGGCCCTGGGTGTGTATCGGTACCTCTTCTCTCTCCGAGTAGGGCGAAGCCAGGGCGAGGATTCATTCGGGCGAGGAAACATCGAGAATCTCTGAGAGCCAGCGGCTCTGGAGGACGTCCCGGGCGCCGCGGCCTTCTCAGACTGGAACGTTCTGGCACGGATTCGCCCTCGCCCTGGCCCCGGCCGGCCAGACCCCGGCGAAAGGCCGCGCCTGCGCGCAGCCAGCAGCGGGGCGGGGCGGGCAGGACAGGGCCTGCCCGAGGGCAGCGGGCCCAGGGGGCTCCTGCGGCGGCGCTGGCGCACCGGGCCCCGGCCCGCCATGCTCGGGCGGGGGGGGCGGCTGCTGCGGCGGCGGCTGCGGCTGTGGCCTCGGCGGCCCCAGCCCTGCGGGCGCCACTCGCAGAGGCCGGGCGAGTCGGGGCGGGCGCGCGCGGAAGCGCGGACGACGGCTCCGCGGACCTGGCGCGTGGGCACCGGAGCCACGGCTCGGGCAGAGTGCCGCCCGAAACGTCCTCCTCCTCCTCCTCCTCCTCCTCCTCCTCCTCCTCCTCCTCCTCTTTTTCCTCCTTTTCCCATTCGGGCGCGACCTGTTCCTCGGGGCTGTGGCGCCGAAACGTCGGGCCTCAGGGGGCGGGGGTCGATGCAGACGGGGGTCAGCCAGAGCGCCGGATCTTGCAGGGCCCTGCAGAGCCAGGGGCGCACGGACCGAGGCTACGGCGGCCAGGATCCTGCAGGATCCTGCGGGAGCTCGCAGGATCCAACAATGCCTCATGACGCGAGTCTACGTTGACCCAAGTCAGTGCGTCCCCGAATGCGGCATGATTTGGCGGCGGGGCGCGCCGACTTGGCATGGAAGCGAGGCCCGCCGCTAATCCACGCCAGCTGACTCCATGCGTGAGGATAGCAACTCGGGGGCCTCGGGTGTCCTCGAAATTCCGGTTTTCGGGGGCTCTAGCGTGCGCTAGCGTCCGGTAGTCGATGAGAAACGAGGGGATCCGCCCCGACCAGATCTCCACAGTGCGGCGGCAACGGGCCCGTCGTGGACAGATGCGCAAAAACGATTTGTCGCCGCACGGACCACTTGAAAAATCAATCAAATGAGTCGTGCGCCGTGCGATGGGCGCGCCGTGGGCGGCTCACTTCACGCACGTGTCACGCGCAATATGTTTTGGTGCGACGGCGACGGGGGGTTGGCCAGACATATGGACAGCACAAACCACGCAGGTGGGTTAACAGTGCGACAGCGACCGCGGGGCCGAGGCAGATGGGCCCTTTACTGAATTACTCCGACGCTCTCCACACGATGCGACGGCGACGGCGGGGTAGGGGGCCAGACAGATGGCCAGCGCGCAACCGCAAACGATGGCCAGGCCAACGGTGCGACAGCGACCAGCGGGGCCACGACACATGCTCAGCTTCTCCCCCCACACACACACACGCACACGCACACACGCACACACGCACACACACACACACACACACACACACACACCGCGCAGCGCGACGGCGACGGAGGTTCCCAGACCCCCGACGTCATGATTTTTTCATGACGTCGACCCCCCGAGGTCTCGACCCATTCCCCGGGACCGGTTTTTCGTCCTGAGTCGTTTTTTGACGGTCCCGAGGGCCGGTAAGGGCCCCCCCAAAGAAAATAAAAAAATAAAAAAAAAAAAACAAAAAGAAAAAAAACAAAAAAACAAAAAAAAACAAAAAAAAAAAAAATAGAAACAACAAAAAAAAAAAAAATAAACTAAATACACAACAAAAAAAAAATAAAGAAAAAACAAAAAAAAAAAAAAAAAAAAATGTAAAGAAAAAAAAAAAAAAAAAAAAAAACCAAAGAAATGAAAAACAAAAAAAGAACAATAAGACAAGAAAACAAAAAAAAAAAAAAACAAACCCCAAAAGAAAAAAACAAAAATCTAAAAAATAACATAAATTAAAAAAAACACATACACAACAGCAAAAGCCAAAAAAAAACAGTCCAAAACTAGTGAAAAACCTCTCGTCGTGACTTTTTCATAACTCGAGGGGGTCTGGGGAGGTTGGTCTCGCAGTTGGACCGGACGCGCGGTGGGCCTACCAGGAGTGCGGCCGCCAGCGGCGGCCTCGAGACAGATCGGCGTGATCGGGGCCCCCCAGGGTCTCAACAGGCACCAGAGAAGGCACCGCGGCCACCACGGCCACCAAGGCCACCGCGGCCGCCGCGGCCACCGCGGGCGCCACGGGCACCACGGCAGCCGCGGCCGCCACGGCCGCCACGCCCACCACGGCCACCATGACGGCCAACACGGCCACGAGGGCCACCAAAGCCGCCACGGACGCCCTAACGAGTCCACTGGAACTCTGAAGCCCCTTGAGGGGAACCCTCGAGGGCCCCTAAACGAGCTCCAGAAGGGTCCCAAGAGTACCCCAAGATGGCTCCAAGAGTCGTCCAATGACCAAGGGACTCCCACGACGACAATGACAACGAGTGACGACGAACACGGCGAAGGCTGATGACCAAAGGGCTCTCACGACGACAACAACAACGACGACGACGACCGACGACGACTGACGACGATGACAATGACGACGACCGACCGACGACGACACGACCACCGACGACGACTGACGACGACAATGACCACAACAGACGACGACGACAACGGACGACCGACAACGACGACTCCCATGGCCGCTCCCAGAAGACGCTTTTGTGTGGCGGGCTGGCCCTCCGCGCCAGCCTCCACGTCGGGCTACGACGACGACGACTGCCGACGACGACCGACGACGACGACGACGACGACGACGACGACGACGACGACGACGACGACTGACGACGACGACTACGACGACGACGACGACGGCGACGACGACGACGTACGACGTCAACAACGTCGACGACGACGATGACGACGACTGACGACGACGACGACGACGACGACGACGACGACGACGACGACGACGACGACGACGACGACGACGACGACGACGACGACGACGACGACGGGCGACGACTGCCGACGACGACTGAAGACGACGACGACGAAACGTACGCATCCGAGAGCATGCAACGACGAGCCACCTAGCGAGAAAACGAGCCAACCGTCCAGCAGCCAGCCCGCCAACAACCAACCAGACAGGACGACCGACGACGACGACGACGACCAACGACGACCGACGACGGACGACGATCGACGACGACGACGACGACGACGACGACGACGACGACCGACGACGACGACGACCGACGACGGCGACGACGACGGCGACTGACGACGACGACGATGACGACGACGACCACCACCGACCACCACCACCACCAGCGACGACGACAGGCGACGACGACGCTGACCGACCGACAGCGACGACGACGACGACGGCGGACAATGAAAACGACGACCGACGACGACAGACGACGACGATCGACGACGACGACGAGGAGAACGACCCCGACCACGACCACGATGACGATGAGGCAGCCAGCCAGCAAACCAGGCAACAGACACCAAGGCAGCCGTTCAGCCAAACATTTTCGATGCGCTTCCCTTGTGTAACGTGCAGCGCACAGGTAACACACCAGCGGGTGGGTCACCCAAAAACTTGTTGAGCGAGTGGGTCACACCAGCGGGTGGGCGGCCAACGATCTGGTGACCCGCGCGCGGGCGGGTCACCCGAAATCTGGTTGATCACCGTGAAGGGTTCACTGTGGTCCCCAGGCCACAACTGGCGACTTTTCCGCTGTGGAACTCCCCACGTGCGCGTCCGCGAGCGCGCGAGGGTGACCGACGCGCGTGGCGGGTCACTCGAAATCCGGCTGGTCACCGTTAAAGATTCATTTTAGTTCCCAGACCAACATGGCGATTTTTACATTGTGGACACTACAAATATCGCCACGCGCGCGGGTCACATGGTAGACACCACAGAACTTGCCGCGCGCGCGTCCGCGCGCGCGGGAGCGGGTAACCGACGCACGGGCGGATCACCCGAAGTCCAGCTGGTCACCGTTAAGGGTTCACTGTAATTTCCAAGCAAACATGGCGATTTCTCCATTGTGGGCACTACAATACTCGCCACGCGCGCGTCCGCGCGCGCGCGATCGGTTGACCGACGCACGGGCGGATCACCCGAAATCCGGCTGGTCACCGTTAACGGTTCACATTGGTTTCCAGGCAAACGTAGCGAGTTCTCCATTGTGGATACTACAATGCTCGCCACTCGCGCGTCCGCGCGCGCGCGATAGGGTGACCGACGCACGGGCGGATCACCCGAAATCCGGCTGCTCATCGTTAAGGGTTCACTTTAGTTTCCAAGCAAGCATGGCGACTTCTCCATTGTGGACAGTACAATACTCGCCACGCGCGCGTCCGCGCGCGCGCGATCGGGCGACCGAAGCACGGGCGGATCACCCGAGATCCGATTGGTCACCCTCAAGGGTTCACTTGAGTTTCCAAGCCAACATGGCGACTTCTCCATTGTGCACTACAGAACTCATATCGCGCGCGTCCACGCCTCAAGGGTTCCAACGCCCCCCATTGCCTGGATGTGACCGCCGAGCTCGCCGTTCTTCTTGGTTGCATAGTGGTTGCCCGCAGAGCCGTCGGACCAGCCTTCTTCAGCAGCTTCGGTCGGCTCCTCCAACGGGGGGGGGGCATTAGCTCAGCTTGCTTGAGCTCAGCAGAGAGCTGCTGGACCTGCCTCTGCATATGCTTGTGCTGTACGGCCATGACTTCAGCTGACTTCCCCGCACTTGGCCACGGTGGCGGCGTGCGAAAGAAACACGGGGCAGCAGGCTCGGGCGGGCCAGCGAACGCCGTTCTCTTGGCCAACCCACAACTGCTGCAGGCCAGTTTGTCAAAGAAATTCACATACGGCTTGTGGTCCCGACCGAAGCAAATCCTGCAGCACCACTCCGTCCGACGGGCTGCCCTCGCGCGACCTCCACTGCCTGCAGATCCACCAACAGGCTGCGGCGCCATGGCTCCAAGAGAGCTCCACTCCTGAATGTCTTGCACTTGTGAGCTCCTGCTGGAAACAACGGCGCCTGCAGTGGCAGGCAAGAAAGGATACAGAGACACCGCGTGGCTAGCCGCGGACCAGCGATATCCACTCGGACCACCTGCCAGCCACGCGTTTTGAACCAAAATGGCCACGGATGTGTGTGCGCGTGTGTGTGTGTGCGTGCTTGTGTGTTGTGTGTGTGTGTGTGTGTGTGTGTGTGTGTGTGTGTGTGTGTGTGTGTGTGTGTGTGTGTGTGTGTGTGTGTGTGTGTGTGTGTGTGTGTGCGCGTATGTCTGTGTGTCTGTGTGTGGTGTCTGCGTGTCTGTTTGTGTGTGTGTGCGTGCCTGTGTGCGTGTTTGTGTGTATGTGTCTGTGTGTGTGTCTGTGTGTTTGTGTGTGTGTGCGTGTGTATGTGTGCGTGTGTGCGTGCGCGTGCGTGTGTGTGTGCGTGTGTGTGCGTGTGTGTGTGTGTGTGTGTGCGTGTGTGCGTGTGTGTATGTGTGTGTGTGTGTGTGATTGTGTGTGTGTGTGCGTGCGTGTGCGTGCGCGTGTACGTGCGCATGTAAGTGTAAGTGTAACCGTAAGTGTGCGCGTGCGAGTGCGCGTGGGCGTGGGCGTGTGGGTGTGGGCGTGGGTGGGGGTGTGGGTGCGGGTGTGGGTGTGGGTGCGTAGATGTAGATGTGTGTGTGTGTGCGTGTGTGTGTGTGGTGTGTGTGTGTGTGTGTGCGTGCGTGCGTGCGTGCGTGTGTGTGTGTGTGTGTGCGTGTGCGTGTGCGTGTGCGTGTGCGTGTGCGTGTGCGTGTGCGTGTGCGTGTGCGTGTGCGTGTGTGTTGTGTGTTGTGTGTTGTGCGTGTGCGTGTGCGTGTGCGTGTGCGTGTGTGTGTGTGGGTGTGTGCATGCGTACGTGCGTGCGTGCGTGCGTGCGTGTGTGCATGTGTGTTTGCGCATGGATCAAGAGCCGCGGCGGCGCTGCCACCAGTGCAACTCACATGGACCTCAACCAATACCCTGCTTCTTTATATCCACGCCCCTTCAGCCTGCCCCTCAGCGGAAATCATTCCGGCGCGCTGCCCCCCCGCAAGCGGGGCGCCCCTCGCCGTCTCTCTCTTCCCTCCCAGTCGCCCCCGCCCTTGGCCACGCCCTCCGGTCCTCTGGCCGCCCTGCCCTGGCTCTCCCCCGATGCAGCGACGAATCTGCACAACGCACGCGCCCCCGCCAGAGAACTCCTCGAGCGCCGACACGAACCGGTGGAGCATCTTCACGGACCGGAAGGGCTCCGCGTCGTCCGGGCCGCCAGCCGGCCAGCTCGGCCGCCAGCGCGGCGCGGGCAGCGAGCGCGCGCTCTTGGCCGAGCGCGCTCCGCAGCTGCCGCGCTGGCCCTCCGTCACGGTCGGGCCCTCCGCCCCTCTCGGCTACACGCAGGAGTGACCCTGGGTAAGAGTGCTTTTTGGTGCGCGGCTTTTTTGGGGGGCCGCGGGGAGACCAGACCTGGGCGCACAAGCCGCTGCTACCGCGTCGTTTTCGGCCATCTGAGGACCCATCTGCACCCGCAACAAAGGTCACTCCGGCGAACGGTCACTCTTGCGTCTGGTCGCCCCTCTGCCCTCTCCCACGCTTCGGCTCGTCCCTCTCCGGGGCCGCAGGCGCGCAGCCGCTCCGTCCGCCCCCTGTCCTCCCCCGGGGCTCCGCCGCGGGCCTCGCTGCCCTCCTGTCCCCCGCGCCGCCCACGGGGCTGCCCTGCCTCCTCGCCCTCGCCCTGGCCCGCCGCCGCTGCGGCGGGCCTCCGCTCCGCCACGCCTCTTCTGGCCTCGGCCTGCCACCGTTCGCACTCCATCCCGAGCCCTCGGAACGGCCTCCTCGTCTCTCGTCCCTCTCCGCCCCCTCTCCCCGCCTCCGGCGCACCCCCCTCGCGACTGCCACCGTTCGCACCGCACCCCTGGCCCTCGGAACGGCCTCTTCGTCTCTCGTTCCTCTCCGCCCCCTCTCCCCGCCCCCGCGCACCCCCCTCGCGACTGCCACCGTTCGCACCGCACCCCTGGCCCTCGGAACGGCCTCCCCGTCTCTCGCTCCTCTCCGCCCCCTCTCCCCGCCCCCGCGCACCCCCCTCGGGATTGCCACTGTTCGCACCGCACCCCTGGTCCTCGGAACGGCCTCCTCGTCTCTCGTCCCTCTCCGCCCCCTCTCCCCGCCCCCGCGTACCCCCCTCGCGATTGCCACTGTTCGCACCGCACCCTGGTCCTCGGAACGGCCTCCCTCGCCTCTCGCTCCTCTCCGCCCCCTCTCCCCGCCCCCTGCGCACCCCCCTCGCGCCTGCCACCGTTCGCACCGCACCCGTGGCCCTCGGAACGGCCTCCTCGCCTCTCGCTCCTCTCCGCCCCCTCTCCCCGCCCCCGGCGCACCCCCCTCGCGCCTGCCACCGTTCGCACCGCATCCCTGGCCCTCGGAACGGCCTCCTCGCCTCTCGCTCCTCTCCGCCCCCTCTCCCCGCCCCCGGCGCACCCCCCTCGCGCCTGCCACCGTTCGCACCGCATCCCTGGCCCTCGGAACGGCCTCCTCGCCTCTCGCTCCTCTCCGCCCCCTCTCCCCGCCCCCGGCGCACCCCCCTCGCGTCCTGCCACCGTTCGCACGCACCCGTGGCCCTCGGAACGGCTCCGCACTCGCTCCTCTCAGCCCCCTCTCCCCGCCCCAGGCGCACCCCCCTCGCGCCTGCCACCGTGCCACCGCATCCCTGCCCTCGGAACGGGCCTCCTCGACGCTCGCTCCTCTCCCCCCCCCCCTCTTCCCCCCTCCCCGGGCGCACCTCCTCGCGCCTGCCACCGTTCGCACCGCATCCCTGGCCCTCGGGAACGGCCTCCTCGCCTCGCTCCTCTCCGCCCCCTCTTCCCCGTTGTTCCGCCCCCCGGCGCCCCCCCATTGCGGCCTGCCACCGTTCGCAACGCCACACCACCCTGGCCCTCGGAACGGCTCCTCGCCCCTCGCTCCTCTCCGCCCCCTCTCCCCGGCCCCGCGCAGCCCCTGTCGCGCCTGCCAACGTTCGCACCGCATCCCTGGCCCTCGGAACGGCCTCCCCGTCTCTCGCTCCTCTCCGCCCCCTCTCCCCGCCCCCGGCGCAGCCCCCTCGCCGCGCCTGCCACCGTTCGCACCGCACCCCTGGCCCTCGGAACGGCCTCCTCGCCTCTCGCTCCTCTCCGCCCCCTCTCCCCGCCCCGGCGCAGCCCCCTCTCCGCCCCCTCTCCCCGCCCCGGCGCAGCCCACTCGCGACTGCCACTGCTCGCACCGCATCCCTGGCCCTCGGAACGGCCTCCTCGCCTCTAATTCCTCTCCGCTCCCTCTCCCCGCCCCCGGCGCAGCCCCCTCGCGACTGCCATCGTTCGCACTGCACCCCTGGCCCCTCTCCCCGCCCCCGTGTGGTCAGAAGTCGGTCTTCGACTCTCGTTCCTCTCCGCCCCCTCTCCCCGCCCCCGCGCACCCCCCCCGCGCCTGCCACCCTCGCGGCTGAGCCCTCGTGGACGGATCCGGCTCCTCCCTGCGGCGCGAGCTGGCCCGGTCGGTGCCCGCCTCCCCGCGGGCCTCCTCCCTGCGCCGCGCCGCGCCGCCGCGGCGCGCGGCCGCGGCGCCGGAAGTGCGCATGTGTGCGCGCGCCTGCGGAGCCCCACGCGCGGGGAACGGAGCTCCTCCTCCTCCTCCTCCTCCTCCTCCTCCTCCTCCTCCTCCTCCTCCTCCTCCCCTCCCCTCCCCCTCCCCCTCCTCCCCTCCTCCTCCTCCTCCTCCTCCTCCTCCTCCTCCTCCTCCTCCTCCTCCTCCTCCTCCTCCTCCTCCTCCTCCTCCTCCTCCTCCTCCCCCATGCGCCGATGGGATGTCACGTCTGTGGAGCCCCGGGGTGGGCGCGGCCAGGAGGCGGCTCTTCGGGCCAGGCCCTTCCTCAACACATGACGTCAAGGAGCGGTCCCTTCCTCTTGCAGGCTCTGTTTGTGAAGACGCCAAGGAGAGCTTCTGGTGGGGAGTGCTGCTCCGTGTCGTCCCATCTAGCAGGGGAGATGAATGCGGCAATGAGTCATGTTTACCTTGATGGATGAGCTACACTGGCAGCCATCTTTCATCCCGGTACAGCGGGAACCATTGTGACGTTGTGGATTCGTGTGCGGGTGTGCTTCAGATGCTTTCAGTAGCTTAGCACACGAATTTCTATACAAAAGAAGTGGTGTCGCATCGCAGTCGACAGATGCGCCCAAAAGCGATAAGAGCGATATCGAATCGATGGCAACAGAGTGGCGTGTTGTGAACGGCTGTGGATGACATCCTTGGTCAGTCGGCACAGCTATCACTCTTCGGTGCAAATGGTACTTGAACTCTGCTGCGGAAGTTGCAACCCGACACCTCGTCCACGACAGAACAGCCACGACAGAATAGGGGCGAGGGAACAGACGGAGACCGGCAGTGGCGTAAGCAGGACGCAAAGCCGGCTGAAGAAATCCGCTTAGGCCGCCGCTGGTGCTGCAGCTGCTGGTGCTGCAGCTGCTGGTGCTGCAGCTGCTGCTGCTGCGCAAAATACGCCGTCCACATTGCCTGCGGGGAGCGCAATCACCCGGAGGTGAACGACAAAATCGCGCACTGCCTTCTGCTGCTTCTCGCATCGTTGCTCGGGGGCCTCTTAAAAAGCTCCCCTGGTCCTTCGGCCCCCCGACGTCGCCCGGGCTCTCCATCGAGGCATTGCCCCAGTTTATGCCTCACAGACACCTTCAGTGAACATACGCGCGTTCTTCCCACACAGTGTACACCGCTTTACATGATACCCGATCACTCGTGTGCTCGTGCACCGCACGTGAAAAACAACGCCTCTTACTTCGGGCGGCCCATTATGGCTTCGGGATAGCTCGCATGACACTTCTGTGCGTTCTTTGTAGAATAGGTTTAAGTCGGGCCTGCCCCCCTACAAGGGGATTTTTGACGACAAATAAACTATCCCGGCAAAGCAACCTAACAGCGATGTGTAGAAGCATATCTGAAAGCATTTCCCCTAAGATTCACATGAAAATCCAGTTGTAGAATTCTGCTGTTCTCGCAGTCGTAGTCGCATTCGCGATGACAGTCGCAGCGGCAACGGCAGTCGCAGTCACAGCCTCAGCCTCAGCCTGCCTCAGCCTCAGCCTCAGCCTGCCTCAGCCAGCCTGCCTCAGCCTCAGCCTGCCTCAGCCTCAGCCTGCTTCAGCCTCAGCCTCAGTCTGCCTTCAGCCTCGGCCTCAGCCTCAGCCTGCCTCAGCCTCAGCCTGCATCAGCCTCAGCCTCAGCCTCAGCCTGCCTCAGCATCAGCCTGCTCAGCCTCAGCCTCAGCCTGCCTCAGCCTCAGCCTCAGTCTGCTTCAGCCTCAGCCTCAGTCTGCCTTCAGCCTCGGCCTCAGCCTCAGCCTGCCTCAGCCTCAGCCTGCCTCGGCCGCAGCATCAGCCTGCCTCAGCATTCAAAATGTGGCCCAAGAATGGAGTTCTGGGAACTAGAAGAACACGAAGTGGCCTACAGTTGGCTCTGGGCATTCAAAATCATGCCCAGGAATGGTGTTCTGGGAACTTGAAGAGTACGAAGTGGCCTACAGTTGGCTCCGGGCATCCAAAATGTGGCCCGGGAATGGAGTTCTGTGAAATCGAAGAGCACGAAGTGGCCTACAGTTGGCTCCGGGCATCCAACATGTGGCCCGGGAATGGAGTTCTGAGAGGTCGAAGAGCACGAAGTGTGTGACTGTTGACGAAAAACGAGCCCGGCTCTGTTCCCGGTTCTCCAGAATGTGGCCCGGGAATGGAGTTCTGGGAGGTCGAAGAGCACGAAGTGTGTGACTGTTGGCGAAAAGCGAGCCCGGCTCTGTTCCCGGTTATCCAGACCATAAGGATCAGGGCCCCTTAGACTTCCGGAACAAACTTTAACTAAGATCTTCTCACCCTTATCTTTCTTACACTTAACTTTAATAATCTTAAACTTTACCTAAGACTCGCCCCTTAGACTCCTTTACCTTTACCTTAGATTCGCCCCTTAGATTCGCCCCTTAGTCTCCTTACCCCTTACCTTACTTGAAATCCGACCTTAAATCCGACCCTTACCTGAAATCCATCAGTATATTCGTGCTTTGTGTTTTCTTTGGGTGCGCACGCGATGCGTCGGTCGGGTTCGTTGCGTGTTGTTCTGGCTGGTTGGTTGGGTTGGTTGGCTGGGTATAGGTTCTGATGGTATCATGCACCTGGTGGTCTCCTTGAGGGTCAGCGGATTCTGCCGACACGTTTGGGGTTCACGCTGGGCAACACGTTTGGGGTTCACGCTGAACGCTGTTTGGGGTCAACGCTGAACGCTGTTTGGGGTTCACGCTGAACGCTGTTTGGGGTTCACGCTGAAAACTGTTGGGGGTTCACGCTGTTTGGGGTTCAACGCGTCCACGCTGTTTGGGGTTCACACTGTTTGGGGTTCACGCTGACAACTGTTTGGGGTTCACGCTGTTTGGGGTTCACGCTGTTTGGGGTTCACGCTGTTTGGGGTTCACGCTGAAAACTGTTTGGGGTTCACGCTGTTTAGGGTTCACGCTGAAAACTGTTTGGGGTTCGCGCTGTTTGGGGTTCACGCTGTTTGGGGTTCACGCTGTTTGGGGTTCACGCTGAAAACTGTTTGGGGTTCGCGCTGTTTGGGGTTCTCGCTGTTTGGGGTTCACGCTGAAAACTGTTTGGGGGTCACGAAAACTGTTTGGGGTTCACGCTGTTTGGGCTTCACGCTGAACGCTGTTTGGGGTTCACGCAGCACGAGCGATTTCATTACAACATTGCCATCATATCGTAGCCGTTCTTGGTCGAGCACACTTTTCAGCAATATTTCTTCTGGCCTCATGGCCGCCCAGAACAGGAAGCCTCGTGAGATCGCCAACCCATCCGTTCAGCAGGATGTTATTTCAGCAGAAGTTGCGAAGTTCAAGGGTAGCAAGAGTTGGACAGATCCCGTGTTTTGCCACCTAGTGAAAGAGCAGCACAAGGTTACACCTAGTATGTTGGCGACTTTGGCACCCTTGCTCCAAGGCTTTATCAAGATCGGGTTCGACAATTGCGTACTGCCCATGCCGAAGGTCGAGACAGCGATCTTGAGGTCCATCCCCAGCGGCGAGAAACCCCCGACTGACTATTGCCAGACGCGCTGGATCACCGAGATAGCAGACCACGTGAGGCTCGTATTCAATGCGCTTCGCCTGTACAAGTTGGAGGACGATAACGCGCAGATGACGCCTTCTGGCAGGAGGCGCTACCCGAAAACTGGTGGATTTCGCAAGAGCATGAGCGCCACTGACAGCATCTTGGTGCACGGCCTGATCAAGAACGTGAAGCTGAACTGCGTGGAGAAGGAGTGTCTATCAGATGACGGTCGGTCCGTTGCGTTTCGGGTTTCGGCCACATCTACCGCGCCAATGCCAATGCGCGACCAGCCTCCCGACACGCGACATGCATTGCTCATCCGCTACAAGGCCATGTTCAATCAGAAGTCGCCGCTCAAGCCTGTCAAGGAAGACGCGGTGGACGATGACGGTGAAATCGAGCCGACCATCGAGTATCCCGAGGAGACCAGTGCGCCCGCAGCCGTCGCCCAAGAGCGCGCCGCCGTCGCCCCCGAGCCCGCCGCCAAGGAGGTCCACCCAGCGGCGCTCTACGACGAGGACGGCGTGTTCCAGGGCATCATCGGCGGCTCCAGCTTCCTCGGGCAGCGGGCGCAGGAGCGCAAGGCGACGGCGCAGGCATCGATTTAGATTCAAGTTGGGTTCAAAATGAGATGAGGAGGGGGACGAGGGAGGAAGACGGAGACGACGACGACGACGACGACGACGACGACGACGACGACGACGACGACGACCACGATAGCAACGACAACGAGAACTGTTTCGTTTTAGCACACCTGGTCTAAATGCCCCCCTCTAGAAAAGGACACTTGGATCCCTGGGAAATCGAAACATCTTCGGTATAATAGTCGAGGTCTGATTGGGGATTCAGTGCATGTAAACGTAAGTTTTACTTCGGAGCAATCGCACTAGGCAACTCGCAAGCGCGTGATGGGTAAGCAGCAGCCTGGAGCACAACAGAACAAGCGGGGGAAGCCAGCCGCGTCTCCGAGTTCGTCTTTGATGGCCCCGTCAGCAGCGCCTCCCGTCGAGCTCCCCGAGCCAGTGACGCCCCGTCCTGCGTCCAAGGACCGCGCGGCGCAGAGCGCCGCGAAGACCGAGGCCCTCGTCTTCAGTCGGCCGAAGAAGTCGGGGCCAACTAAGGAGGGCCGCCCCCGCGTCGAGCTCACGGCCTTTACCGATTCTAGCAAGAGGGCCCACATCTGGACGACAGCAAAACCAGATGAGTTTGCCGCAATGGAGCGCCTTTACGTAGCCATGCAGAAGAAGCCGATGACGAAGGCACAGGCGCTCCAGCTTCGCGATTCTTTTCTTGGGAAGGTCGATCGTCCCACATAGGTATTCTTCAGGTGCGAGATTTCGGCTTGGCGAATGATAGCATCGCTGCTTCAGGTAAGTTTTCATTTGCTGCGATTGCGGGTGTTCGAGCATCAATGCGTTGCATTGTACAGCTTCGTTCGACTTCGGCTATTCGGGTGACCGTGCCCACGGCTAGCGTTGATAAACAACTCCCCGCACCGAGAAGAAAATTATCTCAACAAGTGTGTGGGGTTCAACGGTTCACGCTGCACTTTGTTTGGGGTTCATGCTGAACTTTGTTTGGGGTCCACGCTGAACGCGTGAAAAAGAAGTTGTTTGGGGTTCACGCTGGACTTTGTTTGGGGTCCACGCTGATCCAGGAGGAAAACTACCGCAACAAAAACAGCTCCTAAAGAAACTACCGCAAGAAGAAACCCACTCAGCCCCAGTCCCGCTCCCCCAGTAGATAGGCATTTTGGCTCGAGCGAGTTCTTGCTTCAGCGACCTGATTCGATCGAGTTTCTCTCGCGAGAGAGATCGCAACCTGCATTCCGGAACCATGCCGCCGAATGGGGGGATGAAGCGCCCAGCAGCGGCCGAGGCTGGCGCGGCCCTCAAGCGCCCAGCAGCGGCAGCGACAGATCCCAGTGACAGGGCCGATGCTAAGAAGGAGATGTGGCAGATTGCGGCTGCTGGTAGCGCCGCCGCAAAGACGGCTCCAGCCACGTTCAAGGAGTCGGAGGAGACCGCGCTTGCCATTCGCAAGGAGGGCGAGCCCGACCAGCGGCAGACGTCGCTTGCCCAGCGCCACGTCTTCAAGAGCAGCAGGGAGAGCATCGACCCTGAGGACCTCAAGAAGTATGACTGGTACAAGTCGACGGCGTGCAACATCAAGGGCAAGGAGCGCTTGGCCAACGAGATCATCAACGCGTACGTGCCGCGGGACGCGGGCTACGGGTCCACCATCGAGCCAGACCAGCGCGCCCTGACGCGCGTGAACACTCGGGAGCACGTGAAGAAGGACCATGGGCTACGACGACGACGACGACGACGACGACGACGACGACCACCTCTAGGACTCCGACATCGCCACGAGCTTGAAGAAGAACATCATGATCGCGACGGTCTTCAACGG